CTTCTTTTCGTCCCGGAATGGAAGAGGGACTCGACAGCCGCCGAGATGCATCGTTGTCTCCTGTCGCGAGCTATTAAAATACAAATTCCATTAGCCCACTTTTCCCAGTTGTGACTCCAAAAGAACGATCGCATCTTTGAAGCCCGCATTCTGTGTGCCCATGCTCGTAAAAAAAATACTGAGAAACGTATTTCCCCGTTTCCAAAAAAAAAAAAAAAACCGTTTAGAAAAATGCATTTTTCCCCCCTTCTAGTCCACGATAGGAGTGACTCGGAAACCCCGCTTTCATCTCCTTTCCCTCGCTCCCTCTCACGCAAAAACGAGCAGGAGAGGAAACACACTCCGCGCAGACGTTCACGGAACCGACGACGAATGAAGCGATGATGTCAGTCAAGAATGCATTCCGAGATAATAAAAAATTTTATCATCCACCGACATGAAGACGAAATGAAGATGTTCGAGCAAGCGATTCCCCGGTACCCGAGTGGATAAGTCGCCGCGCGATGATGCGATCCCGAGATCGATTCCCCGCCATTACCACCAGCACTGCCCACAGAGACCGTGCCGATGGTAATGGCATTTTTTTCCCTTAAACCTTTTTTCCCTTAAACCTTTTTTCCCCCTCCACCATTCTCGACTTAAAGATGCAGGTGTTGATGGTGTCAAAGAAGCCCCCTCGACCCTTTCCGCCGCGAATTAAAGCCATGCATCGAAAATAAAGTCACCATTACCTCTCACGTTTTCCGATTCCTTTGGCACGAAGGAAATTTCGCAATTTTGCCAAAACGGCCAACGGGCACCCGAGATTCCGGGAAGGGAACGCGGACCAAGCGAGTCCATTCTCATCGGCTCGGTCCGAGCGGCACGGCCGGCCGCGACTGGACTCGCGACCGACGTCGGCTCGTTCGATGACGTCACAACCGCGAAGCTCCTTCGAGCCGGTCGGCCGAAACGGCTAGGTCCTCTGCGGCTTGCATCGCCCGTCCCTTCGCAGCTCGATCGAGAAAGATACGCCCGAAACGCTTTCGAAGCCACGCCGGGAGGTCTCACGCGCTCTCGTTAGTCCATAATTAAAAAACGGAGTTGCTTCGCATCTCTGTGGGAATATAGAAAAACTCCAAGCCGAATCCTTCCCCTCCTCTTTCAACCTTCCCCTTACCCTTCCCCCCTCACCCTTCCCCCCTCACCCTTCCCCCCTCACCACTCAGGGTGAAACATGGGCTGTCTTTCCGTTGCGTCATCACGTGGCACGATCGCGGGGAGACAGCGAAACGAAAGTAGCGGCATCCCGCGGATTTCGTTCGCTCTGGGAGTTATTTTTAAGATTCGGAGGGTTCCGGGTCCTCGCTAGGGATTCCCCAGGAGGCCTCGCTTTTATCTCAGCCGAAAAAAAATGCACTTAGACGCACTGAGGTCCTTGGCATTCGCGGTGGCAAGTGTGCCGCTGCCCGCAAGAAAATTGCATAAGAAAACAGGTGCAGCTCCGGGAAAACCCACAATATTTTTTTCCTACTTCTGACTGAGGCGATAAGTGAGAATACAAAAAGGGAGGGAGGCAGCGAAGGGGAGGGTTCTCCACTTCGATCACCATGCTTCGTTCCGGGCTTCTCCTCGCCGTCCTCCTCGTCTCCGCTCAAGGTGACTTATGGCGTTCCCTTCATGCATCGGCCGCTGGGACGATGGACAGGGAGATTCTTTTCTTGGCTTACTGTTTCATGAAACACTCAGGGGGATGTTGTACGATAGCGTCACGCATATGGTGTTCTATATCCTTTTCGTCGTTTTTTCAGGGACTTGGCCGCCCAAGTCTCTCAACTTCACATCGATTCCAGCGACGTTTTCTTTATCTGAGTCGAGACACCAGTAATCCGCTTCATTGACGTTGAGTTTCCATGTGCATAATGTAGATTATCACGCTTATTTTCGTATTAGACGTGAGCTAGCCCACGTTCGACAACCCCTACTGCTACACCCGACCATTTTATGCGGAAAACGTCAGATATCTGGATGCTATCGTTTCCCATAGAAATCGATGGTAATGGGGCAATCGAAGGAAATGAGGTGGCCGAAAAAGGAGACTGTCTCAAAATTTGCATTACTTTGAGATTGCTGCAGATTCTTCAGAATTTTTCCAACAGAATCCGTTAAGAAAAATTGAGAGATAACTATCCCATCCTGGAAATTTTGTGTCAATGAGAACAAGAACAGAAAAACCGATCAATCAAGATCAATTGCTTTCATTTACCCGTCACTGATGCTGCATATCACGTCTTAGTCGACTTTTCTACAGCGGGCCGGAAGGTCTCCATGAAGAACCGCTTCATCCGGACACACACTCACGGGAAGATCGTCGGCGGCATTCCTGCCGAACCGGGTACAGTGCCATTCCCTTTTGCAGTTTGATTCCCCCCACGACCAGAAAGAGATCCCCCCTCTTGCTGGACTTCCGCAGGTCAGTTCCCCTACCAGGTTTCCATGCAGTACGGTTCCGGCAGCAGCTGGTCGCACTACTGCGGCGGGTCCATCCTGGATGAGACCCATGTGCTCACCGCCGGTCATTGCGACCCCTTGCGCGGCGAAAGGGTATGTCATTTATGACCGTCATTCCTGACCGTCATCCATAAACGTGTTTCTAAAATATATATTTTTAATTTTCATACCATTTCTATGGACGATAGTCTCTCGGTGAATTGAGAGGCTACGATAAATATTAGCTTGCTTGAAGTGATAATTATTCCGTGGCTTTCATGACGATGGTGCTCCCTTTTTGTCTCGCAAAAATGAGATCAGCTAAATCACTCAATATTTCATAAAGCCTTATTGATCTATATTGGTAAAAAGGACTGGACCTCGTATTAGCACAACTTTCCATGTAAATATGCACATAAATATATAAACATCCTTATTTAAAGCCGATATAAGCAAATATTGTTTTCCTACGCGTCAAATTAATCGGGAGACTACGGGATTTTTTGAGGCAGAATTTGGGCCGCCAGCTGATGAATTTCTAATCTCTCCGTGAGCGACGCTCCCATGATTCCATGCTAACTAGACATACATTTCAGAATCGCTGGTATGAAAGAGGAGCCAATGAGCGACAGAATCACCTAGACGCTAAACTTTCCCGCAGGTGGTTGCCGGGACCCTCGATCTGGCGAACATGGGAGAGACCGCGCAAGTGAGGGAGGTCATCGACGCCGTCATCCACCCGGAGTACTTCGGGTCTGTCCCCGCCTGTCCTCTTCGGCGCTCTTAAGCCCTATCGAAGGAGCGGGGTCGGGCTCGTCGATGTGTGTTGACTGTAACGCTATTATCGTATTGGAAGGAATCCCCGAATACTCGTTTTTCACTTTCGGTATAAACCAGGAAACACGTTCCATCCCCATGGGCCTTTCAAAAGTCAGGCGATATTATGAGCCTAATAATCTGCGTTTCAGCAGTACTACCACATCCAATTTTTTCAGGACAGTACAAGAAAGTTAGAGCTTACTTTCCTCCAAGTCCCAAATCGGGAAAGATCTTTCGAAGTCTTTCTAAAAAATGCACCGAAGCAAACCGACTCACGGTGAATTCGGAACCGGCCGCTTTTCGACCGTTCGCCCTTGCACACAGCCGTTGCACCCAATCCCCTCGCTTTGCAGCGTGACCTACGACGCGGCCGTGGTGACCGTGGATCCCCCGTTCGAGTTCAACCAGTTCGTCGGACCCGCCGCTCTCCCCTTCGAAGGCCAGCAACCTTCCGGCAACCCAAGTGCGCTGAATACCTTTTTTATTTTGCATATAAAAACTCAATTATGGTAGATCATTTTGCAATCATGATGAACGGACGGAATTCTGCTAGGTAATTCTGCCTTTCCCATTTCATTTTACTCTGAAAAAATTAATAGGCTAATACGAAGATTTATTTTACTAATTTCCCGATCAAAGATTCCATCTAATTCATTTCTAAGATCCAGTTCGAGCGTAATTTCGCTATCGGAAAATAATTGAATTTTGAATTTAACCTTTGCTTCTGCCATGGGACAGGGTCCTGCACGCCGTCCGGCTGGGGCGCAACCCTGGACGGCACGCTGAGCGACGAACTGCTCTACGTGGACATCGACTTCATCGACGACGAGACCTGCATCGACTTCTGGGGAAGCGGGCCCATCCCAGAGCAGAACATCTGCGCCGGCAACGAGGAAGGATTCGAGACCGTCTGCTACGTGAGAGGCTTTTTTTCCTTCCGTCGTCTCGAGATGGCAGTGGCATCGAATGCGATTCGGACGATTCTGGGCTCTTAGGGTGACTCGGGTGGACCCCTCTACTGCGAGGCCGACGACGGGGAACGGTACCTGTTCGGATCCACGTCGTGGGGTCCCGGAGAATGCGGCCTCCCCGAGCTACCTGCCGTCTGGGCGGAGGTTCCCTTCTTCGAGGAGTTCATCCTCGAACAGATCGGGAGAGCTTAATTGTCCTCAATCCTCTCATTCTTTCTCGCTCAATAATACGTGTTCACGCACTGTCACGGATGCGATGCATGTTGGAATGCCGTGGAGACTCTCGTGCGAATTGCAGAATTAGAAAATTGCGGACTCGGGAGTTGAAATTATTCGGACGAGATGTCTCCAAGGCCTTTTATCGTGTCAGATTTCATTTCTTTCATTTTCGGCATTGCACACAGAGAGCCGACATCGCATACAATTAGGGGTACGAGGCGTGATGTGGATAGGGAGATATTTCGTCCATTATCTGAGTCGAGACCCCAGTCATCCGCTTCAGTAACCATTGAGTTTCAGTTTGCATAATGTAGATGATCACCCTTATTTTCGTATTAGAAGTGTGCTAGCAGACATTCGATATTAACTGCTACACTCGACCATTTTATGCTCAAAACTTCAGATGTTTGGAGGTTACCGTTTCCCATAGAAACTGATGGTAATGGGGCAATCGAAGGAAATGAGGTGGCAGAAAAGAAGGAGACTGTCTCAAAATTTGAAAGCCACACCCATTTAGGGGTAGATGGCATGATGCGTAAAGGGAGATATTTCTGATTTGATCATCTGCGCGAAAAATTGGCAGGGCCAATACTTCCAAGCAATCCTAATATCCTGCACGAAACGATTTTTATGCTTTATCTGTTTCCAAGATTTGAATAAAACATTTGATGAAGGAAGAAATGGCATAAATCTGCAAAACAATATAAAAAAAAGTGAAAGAAGAAGCAAACCTCCCTTCGTCCCCCATAGACAATGATTCATTCTCAATAGCATCCATGCCAACGGGATCACTCCCAGAAGCATCAGCCACGAGATGCATCGCTCTCTCCTGTCGCGACCCATTAAAATTAAAATTCCGTTAACCCACTTTCCCAGTTGTGAAAAGAAGAAGGATCGTATCTTTGAAGCCTGTTTTCTATGTGTACCCCTGTTTGAAAAATAAATCTATTTGAGAAACGTGTTTCCCCATTTCTAAAAAAAAAGTTAGGGAAAAAATTTTCATTTTTCCCCTTCCAGGAATGAATTTAGTCCCCAAAGGGTTAACTAGGAAACCCCACTCTCTCTCCTTTCCCTCGCTCCCTCTCACGCAAAAACGAGCAGGAGAGGAAACACACTCCGCGTCAGACGTTCACGGAACCGATGACGAATGAAGCGATGATGTCAGTCAATAATGTATTCCGAGATAAAATTTTATCGTCCACCGACATGAAGACGAAATGAAGATGCTCGAGCAGGCGATTCCCCGGTACCTGAGTGGATAAGTCGCCGCGCGATGATGCGATCCCGAGATCGATTCCCCGCCATTACCACCCGCACCGTCGACTGAGAACGTACGGATGGTAATGGCATTTTCCCCCATTTTTCCCCACGTCGTGGGGTCCCTCGGAATGCGGCCTCCCGATCGACCAGCCGTCTGGGCGGAGGTTCCCTTCTTCGAGGAGTTCATCCTCGACCAGATCGGGAGAGCTTAACCTTCGTTAATCTTCTCACTCTTTCTTGCTCAATAATACGTGTTCACGCACAGTCACGGATGCGATGCATGTTGGAATGCCGTGGAGACACTCGTGCGAATTGCAGAATCCGAAATTTGCGGACTCGGGCGTTGAAATGATTCGGACGAGATGTCTCCAAGGCCTTTCATCGCGTCCGATTTCATTTATTTCATTTTCGGCATGGCATACAGGGAGCCAGACCCAATTAGGGGTATAAGACCTGATGTGGATAGGAAGATATTTCTGATTTGACTGTGCAAAAAATCGGCAAGGCCAATACTTCCAAACCGCCCAAAATTTCAGCACGAAACCAATGCTCCGCTTTTGCCATCATCAAGATTCGAAGAACATTTTTAAAATGAAGCTAGAAATAGCATAAATCTGCAAAGAAGAAAGCAGTGAAAGAGGAAGCAAACCTTCCCTCGTCCCAAATAGACAGTCGTTCATTCTCGATGCCATCCATCCCAACTCGAGAGACGGAATGAGTCTCAGAGGCATTCTCCAATGTGTTCAATCTTGGGCCATGGATTCGAGCTCGGCGACGAGAATCGCGAATGGCGGATGGCGAATGCCCCGTCGCGAATGTTCGACGGCGCAGATGGAGCGATCGAATCACTGCTGATTGGTCGCTGGGAATGGGGAACACTTCGATGGTTTAAAGAAGCGTATTCTCTTCTGAAAGAAACCGGTAATGATTGAAAAATAAGACATGTATTTTTTTACTTAAGAAAACGGACGTTTTGGTCGATTCAAGTCGATTATGATATTATTGGGCACTGAAGAGCCCCGACGTGGGAATAAATCAGCAGGCGCGAATTTCGAATATTCTCAGATGATCGGACTCCGTTCAGCATTTGTTGATGCAGAGAACCTTTTCATTACATTAAATACTGTGTTATAGCAAATAACGGCTTGCGGGTACCTGGCGGAGTCAAACCAAGAGCATGAGAAAGGGTAGCAGCCACAGCGACCCCATGAAGCTCCTGCACCCGGAATGCTTACACCCTCTTCTAGGATTGGCGCGGTGCGAAACATCACAGAAGCACAGCCTCTTTCACATGGAAAGTAATATACCACATTGTCAAGGGGGGTTGACTTCATTTAAGTTATGTTTGATTTAATATGAGAACTGTCCAAGTTCAAGTTGAAGTACGTGTAAACGTATCACTCGAAGTCATGAGGTGTCTGGCTCTTATGAACTGAACCATTCAATGAGATTCACATGTAATTAGGTCATTACTATAGTGGTCATGGTCAATGGCCAGGGGGAGCGGGGGGGGGGGGGGGGGGTTCACATCTTCCAGATAGAATCATTGAGTCCCGTGAAGAAGTATGCCCTTATTCCTTTTGTAAACCACATACGAAAGTGAGTGGAGTATCCAAATGGAGTTTCAGTAAAGAGACGTACTCGCAGGTTCTGTCTCATATTTTCTTAGGCCGAGACAAGAATACTGCTTCTTTCTACCGAAGGATGTATACGTGCAATCCAGCGACATATGTGGGGCGGGGTCATAAATTATGCAGACCCCAGCAGTACTGGTATTAATAATGCATGTCCCCCTACCATGGAAAAACCCCTAATCGGTTTCTTATTTACACCGAAATCCTGCGCCAATATTAACCCCTGTCGCTTTTCCCTTCGTAATGCCTGTATTTCGAAACCCAAAATATCCTCCCCGGATCCTATAGGTCAGGAGACCCATAAGACCCTATAGGGATCCTATAGGATTCTAAAGGATCCTATTGGTTTTTCGTGTTTGAAAAGCCTATAGGAAAGTCTATAGGTTTCCTATAAGAAATATCAATAGCTAAAGGTTTCCTATAGGACATTTCCGTAAGGGACGATAGTGTCACACATGCAGTGTTCCTTAATATCCCATTTGGCGTGGTTTCAGAGATTGGTCGCCCAAGTCTCTCCACTTCACGTCGATTCCACAGATGCTTTCTTTATCTGAGTCAAGACACCAGTCATCCGCTTCAGTAGGCATTGAGTATCCAAGTGCATCACGTATATTTTCACGATTATTCTCGGACTAGGCGTGTGGTAACCCACGTTGGCCCTTACGAAATGTATTTTAGGAACAAAAGGGAATCGTATTGGTTCCTATAGGCTCCATAGGGTTCAGTTTGGGACCTATATGGTTCCCTATAGAACCTATAGAGTTCCCTATAGAAACAATAGGTTTCCCTATAGGGAACCCAATAGGACCTATAGGTTTCCCTATAGGGAACCCTATAGGACCTATAGGGTTCCGTTTGAAGTTCTCCTTTTGGCCACTAGATGGAGGTATTCGGTTCT